AATGTCTCTCAGCCCCTTGCATCTTAATCAAAAAACTAATGTCTTTCCCATTCTTCTGTGTAAATGTTTCTTATATGGGCTGATTTATAACCTGGTAGGGCTAGTGAGATATCACGGTGACCAAAACAAATCATCCAGCAATCTAGTCAGTGAATGCCAAAGAATTTACCGATACTCATCATGGTCAAGAAAAAGCAACGCGCACCATCCATTTGCATGCCATGGATTTAGTCCAGTGTAAATATGCTCGAAGTTGTCACACCAACTTAGTGTATCATGAACCGAAATAACAGTCATGTTTTCATTCATGTAGTCAGTGAAACTGTCATATTATGATGTAATTTTCATTTTTAAAAGACTGCATGTTGTGGATGCGGAGGAATAGACCAATAATTATCATGTTAAGTCCAATGGTGTCCTTGGACTTTAAATGGACATTTTCTATTGGTCGATATCTGTTCACTTGTGAATATTGTACAAAATGTTGTTTTCTATTTTATGGTACGATGTGGTATGCTTGATTGATATATAAACAAAGTATGTTTGAAATATAATGATTCATATCTCCGAGGCTGTGACTTTTGTTCTGGACTCAGCTAACTGGGCTAGACAGGGAAATGGGGCCAATCGAGACTCTAGGCCGTCCGTACGTGTTTGCGTGTCACTGTAATCAATCGATAAGTACGCTGCTCTCTAATTTTCCAGTCAAGGACACAACAGTTAGCACAGGGTAAAAATCGACAGCAACCTAAAGTCATAACACTGCACTATGCCGCGAATTTATCCATGACAATAAGTTCTATTCATCATGTCGGGACGTATAACAAGCTGGAATGATATCCAAAGTAGTGATTGTTTTGGAAGTAGATTGATAGTGAATAAAGGAAAAAGGTATGAAGCTAAGTTCAGTTCTTGCAATTGTGCCGTTAACCATGTTTTGATTTCCAAATGACTATGGTCATTAAGCTAGTTCATCGTATTGGCCCATATCTTTTTAGGTTTATAGAATTAATTATCTATATTCAGCTACTTTAAGTAAAACATCTATTCAGACGAAGCACATATACGACACCATTCAGAACACTTTTTAGTAGTTTTCGGTGGAATATTTCGAAGGGGCCTGAAAAGGCCTGGCAATGGGTAAGATTTGATCTGTTAGAAAGCGAATATGACAACAGTTATTTATCCTTTCACTCTAACTATGGCCCTCGTCTTTCTTTTCTGACCAAAACAACAGATAAACTCAACGCACTGATTGCGAATTTCTAACTTTTTATCGTTCAACTTGCTTTCACGCGACAACTGATCTAATAATGCTAAATTTTCAAATACGAAACCCTTTCAATTGTTCGGTAGTATTTTCAACTTGGTTCCGGGTTGTTAGGTACCCGGGTCTCATAATATTCTCGTATATAACAATGGTATTCATACCAGGACACTCAGTATTTCTTTTACTCGTCGACGGATGAAATGAGACTTATAGTGATTTTAGTTTTAAAAAACGATTACGCTGGAGTCTGATATCTAGATAGTAAGGAAAATATCTACAAAGCAACACTAAAAACGAAATGGAATAAGATAACTCACGTAAGCATGCCGGAAAGAATATACCGACATGAATAGTAGCAGCAGAAGACGAAAAAATAAAACTGATTAAAAATATTAGTGCTAACATTGAGAGTATGACGTAAATTACCGAATTTCTGCACGATGAGGGAATAAAATTTGCAGCGTCACGAAAAAACTAAGGGAAAATCACAAGACTAGGCACCCCGACTATCACTGCTTTCAAAGATGGAGAAATTGGTAATTCCCGTTTTATTCTGAATGGTCGCTAAGTAGACTGCTAAAATAAGGAACTAGAGTTAGGTTTGTTTCTAGTTAACTGGCCTATGAGGTATGAATTAAACTCTGCTTCTCGCACCCACTCTAACCAATTTTTTTTGGTATAACTTTGTATTGTACAGTCATTAGCGTAGTCATAGTTCCTAGATACGATGGAGTAGTGATCCATGAGAGGTATAAACTTTGAGGTGTTATTTTGATGTAAGCTGGTTGGTCGTGGTATTCCTATCCAACCCAATCAGGCCCCCAGTCATAGACATAAATCGCCTATGTTGGTGATCTAAAATATTATAATATAGTTGTTATTCGTTAACTCCCATATGACAAAGAATCTATATTATTTCAGAAACCTCACAATTCTGTCAGTTCGAGGCGCTTTTTTGGGTAGTTCAGTTTTCTTCTTCATTGGATGTACTCAGATACATCATAGTGATATCAAGGATTTCGGCACTAGCCATTACAAACGTGTTACCGATTGGATGAGGTTTCCCGCTAACAAAATTTCTTTTCACACCTGAATTATTTTTATGCTCCATTAAAGCAAGAAAAAGCAACCTGACACTTGTCTATAAAACTTGGAGTGTCTAAAGAGGATCTTGACAAAACATGCTCTGATATCTTGCAGTAATACTTACCAGAAGAATAATGAGGGCCAGGGTCACATTTGTTGAAGGTGGTGTAGAATTTACGTCCACTTTCGTTATTAGTACCGCTCTAATAATAAACCCAATACCGAATTTTAGATTTGTCATGATGTGATCAGCTAATCTTTAATCTCTCATGTGGAAGTCACATCATTGTCTACACTGACTCATCATATCGTACCAAACAACAAAATGATACTCAGTACTTCTGAAGAACACATTTGAGCTGAATGCAGGATAATATATTTAATGTGAGTAAAGACTAGTTATACAGAATGACCACGCCTGCAAGTCTGAGTCATTCCATCCAATCGAACTGAATTTGTGTTCACGCGTTCTCCATTGTCGGCCTTTTATTCTTGTCAGTTGGTGAACATATTTCTATCCAGCAATTATATGCTCGGCTTCATGGGTCGTTCGATTAGGGTTCAGTGTCACTACAAGTTCGACACTGTTGATTAACTTGCGAGCAGTTTTTTGATTAATTCGAGTGCGTTATATCTGAACACTCCAAATATCTATCTGTTTTGTTGACTATCTATCCATGTATCTGGCTATCTAAATATGCCATAGGTATTCGTATTTTGACAACGCCTTTACACGTAACACCCACATAATCAACGTATACGAAGCTAGTCAAATCGGAAGTCAGAAATAGAGAGGTTCAAAAATTTATTTGTAAGGCTATCTATATGTCGAGAGGCGTTTGGTCTAAGCTGACTAGCAGCCTTAAGTAATGCGTAGTACGGCGCACCCACTCGTGATCTGGTGCGGATGTGTAACCAACCGGCTTCACCTAAGTGTGTCCAGCAAAATTTTTGAGTTCTGCATCAATGTTGGAAACCTACGGAACTACATATTTCAGGGAGTTCTTTACCACTACGCATCTATCCACCTACATATATTTATTTGTCTATCTGTCTATCTATCTATCTACCTATCTATCTATCTGTCTGTCTGTCTGTCTATCTATCTATCTATCTATCTATCTGTCTGTCTGTCTGTCTGTCTGTCTATCTATCTATCTATCTATCTATCTATCTATCTATCGGATAATCACATTATATTACTATAAGGATGTCTAAATATTCGATCCACTTTGAGTAGCTGACACTACGTAGTTTAAATTCTTTTCAGTAGTATTCAGATTAGACCAATTTAGTGCAGTTCTGGATTTATTTCACTACATCACAATTGCTAGACATTATATTGTCAGATTTATTTCTATTCCTATACAGTTGATAGTAATTCTAAGTGTCAGTGTCGATATAAATCCAATCCAATTACAAAGCGGTCATAATCTGGTGTTATTTCAATGCTACTTTCACTTGTATTCAGTAATGTCTACCTAGTCTTATTGTGGTTGTTTATTACTGATATATAAGCTAGTAAAGCAGTTTTTCCACATATGTTCAGGAACGCTTATCCCCTAAATCTTACCCAATTCACTTCTCCTCGGTCATAAAGTGTTATAATAACGAGTATAACACATCACTAAAGACCTAGAACTGTACCCAAACAACAGGGAGTGAACACAAAAATACCGTCTGAAGATGCCGCAAGTATTGGGAGTTTCATAACACTTTATTCAGTAACACCCATAATTGAATCGCGCCCACCCAGTGAAATCAAAAGTCAGGAGCGAGGAGATTCGAAAATACATTTCATAGGTAATCAATATATCGAGAAGTGACTGATCTAATTTGGCTAGTGGTCGCACGAGAAGTTGAAAACGGCGTTCTCACTAGTGATTTTGAGCGGATGTGACCGGACTCCTTCAGCTGGGTGGATCCATCGAAACGAATGTTGTCAACATCAAATGTCGAAGACTTGTAGAGCTATCAATTTTGCGGGTTTATTTACAAGTCTGTTTGTACATTCTCGACACGTAGATATTGGATATTGGAAGCTCGGACCACTTTTTCAAACAGTTACGGCAAGGTAATGGTTCGAGATATCTCCGTATACTTCATTAGACATCAAGATATTTGAGCTAACAATCAAATAGCATAGATTTTTATATAAAAGTCGCAACATTCGATGCAAAGTAGAGACCCTAAGCAACTTATAAGTTACAATACATGTTGATTCAGCGATGTTACTAACTTTCTGAGTTATTTTTATGTTTAGGAGCTCAGTTAACAGTAAGTGCTTTCTTCATCGTGTCTTAGTACTAGCGTTTTTCTTAATTATGATGTCTACAGAGTGGTGAAGCAGCGTCTGAACATATACACCTCCATCTGACAACGTTTGGTCTCAACTAACCAAATGAATTGGACCTTGCATTTATTCCTTCAAGGGTTTCTAGGTACTGTTTCGTATTTTGTTATCCTTGTAGACCTGTCTAAAGCTCCATAGGTTTATGTCTTCTCACTTTTCAGGACCCTTTTTCAAAATTTCCCCAAAATTAACCTGTCTTCAGTAATAAGGATAGTAAGTTGATGAACCTGTATTAATCCTGACGCACTGCTTTCTAGTGAAGGTCCAGCTTCTCCTTGGAAGTATTCACTGATGGAGCTGACACCACTTGTTCGGGTAAGGAGTTCCAATGATTGACTACTCGATGAGAAAAGCGGAACCCCACTTTAAGTTTATTAGATCTTGGTTTATGAAGCTTCTTGCTATGACTGCGGAGATTATTAGTGCTGGAGGGAGCAAAAAGATAAGACATATTAACACCCAAATCATAATTAAAGATACGAAATGCCAATATAAGGTCACCTCGTGTCCTACGATACGACAAGGGGAAAAGATTTAGGCGTTTTAAACGCTCATCGTAAGGGAGTCTAGAAAGACCCTTCACTAATTTCGTTCCCACACGCTGGACACGCTCAAGGGAGTTAGTATTCTTTACCAGACATGGGCTAGATGCTTGGATACAGTACTCTAAGTGTGGTCTTACATAGGTGGGATATAAAATTCGAAACGTTTCCTCGTCAAAAGATTTGAACGCTCGGCGAAGTGACCATAACGCTCGAAAACCTTTGACAGCGGCTGCTTTGCAATGTGTAGTTGTTTTTAAATCATGACTTAATACTACTCCTAAGTCTCTATGCTCTTGAACGCATGGAAGAGGTTTACCCTCAATAGTGTAACGGTAACTATTACCGTGACCGATGTGCATTAGCCCACTCTTCCTACCATTGATTTCTAAACCCCACTCTCGAGCCCATCTAACTAAATCGTCTAAGTCAGCTTGAAGATAAACATGATCAGCCGCACTTTTTATTGTTCTCCAGATTTTTACATCATCCGCAAACAATAATGTCGACGACCTAAGTTACAGCGGTAACTCATTAACGTAGAGAAGGAAGAGCGGGGGGCCTAAGATGGTGCCTTGGGGTACACCACTTTTGACCGGCTTAACCTCTGTCCAGTGTTGAGGACTGAGGTTTGGATCCTTCTACCTCAAGACAATGTATATTTGCAATAGTTTGACAGGTTTTTAAACTAACGGTTGCGCGGTATGTGTGACGCACAAAGTTTCATTTTCAGTTTGTAAAGGACAGGAGTCTTGATGGCCTGTGTGACTCCTGGCAATGATGGTCTCTCAGTTGGTCCAACCTTCTCTTGAAAGTGTCGGTGGATGGAGCCCCAACCACGTGCTGAGGTAACGAATTCCTCTCGTTGATGACTCGATGGGAAAGTCAATATTCAGCTGACAAGTAGTTTGTCCTTGTAAATTCCCTGCTTTGGAAGACAAGAAAAATGAGGACATATCAGGTACTGACTTATCACTAAGCAATTTGAAAACTGTAATCAAATCACCTCTAGATTTTCGATATGACAACGGGAATAGATTTAGCTTGACCAGTCGAGCATGATACTGTAGTTTCGCTATTCCGGGAATCGGCTTAGTTGCTGTTCTCTGAACCTTTTCCAAAAGCTAACTGTCTTTTTATAGACATGGGCTGGCCTCTTGTGTGTAGTACTCAAGTTTGGGATGCACGTATACTGTATGCAAAGTCAGAAAGTTTTTATCGTCGACATGGTTAAAAGCCCTACGTATCAACGATAAGGCTCTAAAACTTTTGGCATCTATTGCACGACAGTGTGCAGTAGTCTTTAAGTCTTGGCTGACAGTGATTCCTAAGTGATTGTATGTTTGGACAACAGATAGCTCAGTGTTATTCATCTTGTATGTATCTGTACCATGATGACCGATATGCATCACAATACACTTGAAAGTATTTATCTGCAACTGCCAAGTTTGAGACCATTCAGATAGTTTCTCCAGGTCATTTGGGAGTTCTAAGCTATCACCTTTGCTTTTTATCGCTCTCCATATCTTGACATCGTCAGCATATAGCAAGACTGGTGATGATAGTAAACGAGGAAGGTCATTTACATACAAGAGGAATGACACTGGCCCCCAAACTGTACCCTGAGGCACTCCGCTGAGCACAGTCTCTCAGCTAGACAACTTGGAGTTCACTCGTACTCTTTGTTGGCGCCCAACTAGAAAGTATTTTATTCACACCAATAGATTCTCTCCAACCACGACATTTCTTAACTTATATAACAGCCGGTTGTGCGGAAGTCAATATAGACTACGTCTACAGGTAACTTTTGGTCCTTAAGGGCTCGTCAGTTTTCACGAGCCACTAATAAGTTTATGAGACAAGAATAACCCATTCTAAAACCATGCTGCTTCTCCATAAGGATCCGGTTTTCATAGCTTCTTATGAATAATCTTTTCTAAGATTTTAACAACCACACTAGTTAGGCTGACGGGTCGGCAATTCTCAGGTTTATGTTTCGTACCTGTTTGGAAGACAAGACTTACCATGGCGTTCTTCCAGTCTTTTGTTAAACGACCCTGGGTTACGGATAAGTTAAAGCATATACTTAAATGGTTCGTAACGAAGTTAGGTAATTCTCTTAGTAGCCTAGGATGCGTCTCATCGGGTTCCGTGGATTTACCTATACCAAGCTTATTTAGCAGACCAAAGACATCGAGTTCCTTAATGGTCACGCTGTCCAGTGTTTGTGTGTGGGGATTTATATGTACTGACGGGAGAAGTGTTTTTTACGGTATATACATTGCTAAGGTAGTTTGAGAATACTTGAGCCTTACCAAAGTCGTCCTCCACTAATGATGACGCGGTACTGTCTTTCCATATTGCAGGAATATTTTCTCTTCTTTTTGTCCTTTGGTTTATATAGGAATATAAGCGTTTAGGACATTCTATGGATTCCTTAACGATTTTTTCTTCGTACAACTTTCTAAACTTACGGAGGGTCGAGGCAAAGGTATTCCGAGCTTTCCGATACTGAGATTTTGTCTCATCGGTCCCCAGTAACTTAAATCTCTCCCACATTTTTCTTCTCTTACGGAGAAGTATGCGAACCTCCCTACTGAACCATGGTGGAGTTTCTCGGCCCCTTTGGCATAGCCCAAGGGATTTGGGGTGCGGTAACTTTTAAGTATAAATTTCGAAATACGTTTCAAGCCGTTTCGATTGAGGACCCTGACTCCATTGTCCAATCTACTGACGATGCTGAGTGCATGATACCTTACCATAAAATGTTATTTAATTGTAATATGTATTGTGACTCCCCTGTTTTAGCACTTGCTATAGGATGCTTCTTTTGTCATATTTTGTAGTGATGTATTAAAAGTTTGACTTACTAGTACGTCCCTCTATAACTTTTGAAAAATACTCCCTTAACCCCTATCAAAATGTGATTACTTCTGTGAGCTAATAGTGTACAGGACTTCATTTTTAAGAGGAGAAAATAATTTCAACGTACTACAGTGACTTAAGATTGAGTGTGATAGCTATTCTAGTTCATGTAATCATTAACTATGTTTTGGAAATATTTTGTTGGCACAAATTTTCACCAACCAGAAATTCTAGACTTCCTTACTGCGCTCTACATAATACTTGTAATCTCTTAATGAAGACCTTTAATAAGATGGATTGCGATCCGTCTCTGTTGCCTATCTAAATTTGGAGTGTAGTGAATTTACATACATTTCATTCGTTCCTCTAGAACCATGTTTGGCATGTTTCTGTTCTTAGTGTTATCCTTCTCCCTGTTTCTTTTGTTAGTTTCCTCCCCTTCTCTTTGTGGCAGTGTGGTGATTTCGGACCAGCACACGTGTGCCAGATCTTTGTTGATGTCTACATGATAACACCTAGCCAAATCCGTAGGCTTATATTGTTAGTTATAGTGTTTTTTACATATATCAAAAACATGTATGGATTGGTTAGCCAAAAACTACCTAGTACTTCTGCTAACAGACGCAATATGTAATCACCGCCTACTGCTGTCATAGTCCCTTGATAATGAAACATTATTGGACATTCTTGTTTTCGAGATTTGTTCATAGAAAGGTTTTGTCACTGCATTTGGTGGTAATAATGTTTCTTTTTAAATTAAAAATAAGCCATCTTTATAAATAGATATTTTGAGTAATCTGGTTAGGCGATGGGCTTTAACTCCTTACCATAGTTTTTGCAGCGTTTGTATTCTTGTAATAAAATCGCAAAAATAGCTTCATGACCCATCACATTGTACAGGGATAGGACTATCGAGCGTTACTTTGAGCTTTTCGACAAAATGCACGTAGTTGAATTTAAATTTTGTCACCCTCCCACAGTGCCTTAACTGATCATTAAAAAGGTACACAAATCTAATTAGTTTGTTTTTGCTTAGTGTATTATTGATAGCCTTCTCCAACTGTAACTAATAAAATCCCTTATAATTCTAGATTTGCCAGTGGTTTTCGAATTTACGGCACAAAAGTCATATAACAACTTCTAATCATGCATCTTAGAAACGCACTACGTTGCCGTTGTAACGCTCGGTTTTCTAGTCCATATGAATGGAACGCCAATTTACCTTAGCCGAATATCTAAACTAGATATCCTCTCAGTGTCTATTCTACAGGACTTGAACACAACTCAGATCAAAAACACGTGACTCGTCCAACTAGTGCGTAAGTATATTCCCACACCGAAAACCGACAACAATCACAATAATAATAAGGGTGGGAAAATATATAACTCATCTAGTACCTGTTAGACTATCCACTAGTCTGACTAAACAAACAACCAATCATTATCTCCCCCCCACGCATCATTTATCTACCCTAGAGATTTCTAAGGTTGTTTGTATGTAATTTCTCCAACTAATTTTTTACTATCACTTTACGGCATAAATTCTAAATACAATATTTTCTCCTTTTGTGTTAGAAGCCGTACCATTTTTACCGTATTATGTCAACTGGGCTTGCCCTTGGTTTCGCTGTCGAGGGTGCACCCTGGCACTTGGTTTCTCATTTATTCCCAGATAAAGTTGGTGGGCGACCAGCTTGGCTAGCTCTTCAACACTTACCATCTCCTAGTGAACTAAAGTGTCCAGTATGTTTGAATCCGATGTGTTTCCTCTTACAGGTATTGTCAGCATCCTAACTACTTATACTGCCTAGATATACTCCCCTCTATCTGAAAAACCTGACTGTTTTCATCGGATGTTATTTTTATTTATGTGCCGAAATAGTGAATGTCATTATAAGCCTGATCATGTACCATTCTATGTGTTTCGATCGCAGTTATCAAGACAAAATTGCTATTACAGGTAGTTATGTATTTTTTCGTAATCCATCTATTATTTCGAAGCTTCGAGCCCCCTGAGAACGAATTTCCCAGTCGCGAAATGTTAAACTCGATGATAAAGGCTAACTCTATTCCATGGGCTGGCAAATATTCATCTATCTGCCCAATATGTGGATGTAAAGCAGACAAAACTTGTTCAAAGTGTAAAACCACTTCTTATTGTTCTAAAATGCACCAGGTACAGCGGTTTTACTTATCCGATTAAACATATTTTCTTTTATTGAATTAGGTTCTAGACTGGAAACGACACAAGTTAGAATGTGGTTCGAAATGTCACGATTTCATGTTATTATTCGAACAAAATAGCTTCTTACTTCCTGAGTACCGTTTATGTTCTGAACCTGCAGACAACTTTTCTTCAAATGATGAAAGTACTTCAGAAGAGGTGGAAACTGACACTGAAACTGTAGACCTGGGACTTTCAAAGTAAATCAGTCGTAATGTGACTTTCTGTTATGTACAAATGTGGATGATAATTTAATCCACTACTTTTATCGTTTTATCAAAATGTGACAGTTTTACATGACACTAACCTTTGTACTTGCTTGTTTGACAAATGTTTGAAGTTATTAGGGCAAAAATCATGGACTTCGCCTTTTTTCGTGCTGACTTTTCAACTGTGTCTGAAATCCTAAAGAAACTCATGCTATATTAGTTTCAAATAAGTGTTACTTAACCCCAGTTCAAAGTTATTATTAATATGCTACTCTGTATACAATAGACGTATTACATTATAAACCATACCAACGCATCACACTCATAGACGCTTAGTGTTATTATCTACCTAATGAAACTAAAGTAAGCTTTGTTAAGACCACTGGTTTCTCAGTCATTACCCTGATTTTAAAATCACAGCCCTTAAAATTGTATAAAACATCCAACAAATTAAGATTAGAACGTGGTAGACTGGTTTACATATTAGAGGAATTAGAATAGTGAATTGAATAGTATTAAGTTAGGTCGAGCATTATTAGTACGATTTATACTCCATTAATTAATCTGTGATACTGACATAGTTTACGCTGTATACTCAAAACATGTTGCGTTTAAGATGGTTTGATAGCAAAGTACTTTCTTGCATTTGTTAATTGTTGTTAGAAAGACAGCTAATGATGCAATGAAGAACTTCCTGCAAAAGTAATTGTGGGTTGTAAGAATGTGGAAAAAAACAGGGCTAATAATATCAACATGTAAGGACAAAACAAGTTATATAATGATATGTCGAAATGAACATTTTGATTTGTGTTTCACGATATTGTCCAGTTTTTCATGAAGTAATATTTACACAATAATCGTCATATGGTTTAAATTTATGTCATTTACCTACATATTTTTATGAATTTATTGGCGACTAGGGGAAATGTGGGGAAACTTTATATACAGTGGTCAATAACTTTTTAGAACCAGCACTAAATCGCACTATAAAGTTGTGACTCAATCGTTTAGGTATCCGGTTTTAGAATATTGTCATGAGTTCGAGTACCGTTTCAGAGACTTTATCAGTCTCATACAATTTACCAAGCACTTCCTATATATGTTGGGCTTACACGTATCCAAATCAATGTATTGACTTAGCAGTAATCCTATACAACTGTAACCTTAGCCTTTAATCCATGCAATAAGCAGGTCTGTCTATTTCATAGCATATCTATCTTCAATTTTATTACAGTAATGTTCTTTTCTGTGAATACTTTCAGCCATTTTCGAGTAAAGACAACAGCTTTATTTTCTTGCCACAAAAATGAAAGTGTGGTTTATCATTTTCACCAAGACGAAACACGCTAAATACTCAGGTGATATGTTCATCTTATGTTTCATCTTATACGTTATCCTTCTGTTTCTGGTGTTAGTAAAAATCGTTTGTTTGTTTAATGTTAAAATTTTTCAGTGATTCTGAAGTTAAAGCGCTTGAATTTATAGCCAAGAAAGAGACTAAAGAAGAAGCCAGATTTAGAATGTTTAGAGAAGCAATGAAATCGGCTCCTGACCAAGTAATTACATATGTATATTCTATGTTAATGTACCGTTAATTGATTCAACCTAGTACTAATTTGTGATTCATAAATCCTCAGGTTATTTTTCTTGATACTCTTTAAAATATCCAGTAAAGTTCTAGACATTTTCTTTGTGGTTTAGTACAGTGTAGTTAACTCCAAAAAATCAGTGTTGAAGTTATCCCTACACTACAAAAATCATTACATTACTGAAAGGCACATGTGTGGATCTTAGTCATAAGACTTTACTTTACTTGAACACATAAATATTGGTACAAAGGAGCACCGAATATATATGCGCCACATAAGTCACTTGATTTGTGTGTGGGCTGAGATACTGCTCGGGTGCCAAAACCGAAGCAGCTGGTGTGGATCTTACGGTGTTTCGACTCAGCGAACAGATAATGGAAACTGTCTGCTGTAGCTATGCTCGTATAACCGTCGACTTTTGGGGAACACCAATTTTGAACTTGAAGAGAAAAATCATCTGACGTGGAGACCCTGACAATTGACTCATCGATTAACTCAGATAGATCACATTGCCATTAGCCATCATTGAAGGGGCTCGATAGAAGACTGTCGCTTACTATGGAGTACATTTTTAGAGTTGGATCATGTTCTAGTTTGAGAACGTATTTATCTACGTCTTACTGGACATAGAAATGCTACCGTTAAATACCCCTTGGATTTCAACTAATTATGAGGAAGTTAAGGATATTTTTCAGGGACAAACGGAGGAGAGAGTTCACCGTAAAGGTGATATCCACCCCGAGGCAGCTTGGTATGATATTCAAAAAGCTTTGGAAACAACAGTGATGTATACTACTATTTGAACCAAAAGGTTTAAAAAATCAGTGAATTTCAGAGACGTCGACAGAACTGCTTGGAAACATATCCCATCTGGCTCCAAGTACGCTAAAGTGCAGAGGCAAATTAAACGAACGCTGATAATAACCTGCTTAATGATCGTGAGCATTGGTATGTGGCAAAAGCAGAAGATATGGACAAGGTAGCGGCGATAGGTAACAGTAGGCAACTGTTCATACTTATCAAGGAAACAGGTATTAAATATATGCTTGTTAGTGAAACTATCTTGGAAAGAGACTGGGCTATTGTTCTCTCGCGATCCAGGAGATTAAACCGAAGGGTAGAACACTTTAGGGAATAGTTCGAGTGGACTTCAGTACAATTCACTTACCCATTATTTTCATGCATTTAAAATGACGAATGGACATACATCTTTTAACTCTTGATGGTGCTGAAAAGGTTACAGGAAACCTGAAGCGAGGAAAAGCAACAGGGTCTGACGGTCTAACCTCTGAGATTTTTGAGAGTGGTCGTCCAGTTTTAACAGTTAGATTAACTGAAGTTTTAGCCAAAAACTGAGAACTGGATGTAATCCCATCAGACTAGATTTGATTACTGACCGTCCTAGTTTATAAGAAAGGACTAAAATACTTTTGCAACAATCACAGAGGAATCAGTTTAATTAATTTAGTGTCTGAAATACCAGCCCCAATGATATTTTGACGTCTAACTCGAGCTCGTAATGAGCAAACCCCAGAAAAAAACTAGGATGGTTTCTGACCTAGATCAAATATTCTCGTTTCGGCAGGTTCTGGAAAATAGACACACTTTTCGACGCCTTAAGGTGGCTTTCGACTCTGTTAGTTCATGGAGTTCTGTGGGAGTGTCTGTCATCGAAAGGCATACCGAAGTACGTAAACCTTGTACAGGCTCTCTATTCGGACAATGCTGGTCGAGTCAGAGCTTATGGCGAACTGTCATTAGGATCGGTTACTTCAAGTGGTGCTCGGTAGGGTTGTCTGCTTCCTCCATTTTTATTTAACTTTGCCATAGACATGTTTTTAAAGATAACACTTTCATCGTCTGACTTTTCAGGGTTTGATCTACCAGGAGATTCACTTGTTGACTTAGAATACTCAGATGACATAGTTCTGTTTGGTGAATACGTTGATTAAATGCAGTCTTCCGTTCACCTTAAGCAACAATGTAAGCATATTTGGTTTGTGATTCTCCTCCTCCAAAAGTAGAATGTTGCTTCAGGACCAGCCTGCGTCTACTCCCGAATTAATGATAGGGAGTGCGTCAGTTGAATATATCAACCGCCTCACTCATTTTAGGAGTTTCATCAGTCTTGATGGTCTGGAGTCTAATGAAATCTCTTTACGGATTCGAAGAGCTCGATCGGCTCTTTTGAACTTTCGTCATTTATGGCATAGGCGAGACATCCGTCTGCCAACTAAGGTGCGAGTATACTACACGGCAGTTCGCTCCGTTCTACTTGGTGGTCATGAAACATAGACTTTAAGAGCAGGGACTATTCGTAAGTTACTGGTATTCAACCATATATGTCTTCGAAGCATCACTCATGTATTGTGAGGCCAGTGAGTATGCGATCCGTAGGTTACGAATGGGGTACTAGATAATAGTGAGAAGTTTATTGATGGGGTAGTAAATCCTCATCTGGTGAGGTGATTAGGACATGCTAAGTATTCCCACCCACTGTCTACCTCGAAGAGCGATATTGTCTGGTGTAGTGGTGGCTATATGAATGATATTTGTCTTGCTCGTGATTCGGACATTTCATACACGTACTAATTGTTGCTATGGTTTTGAGAATGGGCATCAGTCTTGTGGCTAGCGAAGATAGCTTTCACCGTGAGGCGTTGTAATTCCTCTTCCTAGAAACCATCAACAGCTTCAAAGGGGCTGCATGTGGAGTTTGGTTTTAGACACAGTGTACTAGATGCAAGTCATAGACCAGTTTAAGTTGTCAATTTGCGAGTTTTCAGCTCCAATCCAGTTCAGTCCTGTTTGATGAATGGTCTAAAAATTTATTGATAAAATGTCTTGAACCCCTAGACTACAACACAACATTAGTTCAGCAAGTCAAGTGGTCACTTTAATCCGTGTACCAAGTTGCTGACTTTGCATTTAACGTCTTTTGGGTGGTCGTAATTAATGATTACAGATTTTGGTCAATCTCTGGAGTTTTTTTTGGTGTAACAATTTCTCATCTTTCCCTAAGTTGTAGGCATATTATTGTCCCACCATATCTATTCTTACTCATTTCTGTTCGTTGTTTTCTAAGCTTCTCACTTCAATCGGTATTAATAGTTTCTTATCTTTTTGAAGTGTGTTAACTCGTGACATTGTCAAGTCATGTGTTGTTTATAGCTATCTACCATATATATTCCTTATTTGTTCTTGTTTTTATTTAGGTCGTACGATTTCATAGAGGTGGTAAGCCCATTTGGCTGAGTAACGATCCTGTAGAAGTTGAAAAATGTGAAGTTTGCGGTTCTGAACGTGTTTTCGAATTTCAGGTATGACTTTTAAAAACAGTTAAAGTTAATTTCGTTCCATGTTCTACGTTTTTAATGTATTGTAGTTGACTTCAAACTAACCATATAGTTTTATGCATAAAAGTATGTAAATGAAAAATTTAAGTGATGTAACGTTGTCCACCGTATAATTGTATGGTAATCCATGACATTATCAGAATTATTTATTTGCACAGTAATATATTTGATCATTATATGCCAATAAAATTAATGCTTTAATCTCAAATGTTAGTCAAGGTTCACTTACAAAGGATTTGTGCGATATGCTTACTAAGACAGTTATTACAGTGTGATAGACTGTGTTGAGTGTGAACTAGTGTTATGCATCAAACCTCATTCCCACGATTACTGGTAAGTTGGTTTAAGGAGTTAGTCGTCAATGCCAACAAATCTAATCTTTCAGCTATTTTTGAACTGTACACCACGTTTAAAGTCCTTCTCAACATGTACCAGGAAACAGACAAATTTGCATAGGATTCAAGAATGCTACTCTGTAAATGGTTTGTGTACCCTAATAACTCACACTCACGATTCAAATAAGTCACTTCTATTATTCGTAAAGCATTTTTACAATTTATTTTTATTATTTATTTGGACGCATAAATATTGGAACAAGAGTGCGCCAAATATATATGCGCCACACAAAACAATGAGAATTTAAAGAGAAGGAAAAAAAGTAAGGAGTGTAAAAGAAAAAGAGAACAATAACGAACAGATTGGTGTAAGGTAGTGTAATAATAATAATAGTAATAATGAGGGAACGAAAAGGTACAATCAGAAGAAATCTTTCAGTTAAGGAAGACACAACCACTTTTTATGAAGAAAGTAAAAGAAGGTTACAGCAGGATCGCCACTGGCTTCTATTCTGAGCCATATCTGATAACGTCTCTAGCCACTGTGTTGCACCATCTCTCGGACCCCAACCAGGGAGTCGTAAAGGACCAACACAAGCCAGTCCTTTGCATCTTTCTTTCATACCACGACACCATGTCATATACTGACCACCTCTCCGCTTTTTCCAACCAGTCCCAGCGTCGGCAAATAATGAACGGTGTGGAATTCTCTGGGACGACATTCGTAGAACATGTCCAAGCCACCAAAGTCGGTGTTTCAAGATGGTGACACCAATTGAATTGTCGTCTCTGTACCTAAACACACGATGCCGAACCTCTGCATTACTAACGTGGTGTTGCCACTAGATGTCAGCAATCCTTCGGAGACAACGATGGTCGAACACAGAGAGTCGTCTAACATCCTCAACTCGGAGAAGCCAGGTATCACAAGCATAGAGCAAAACTGCTCTCACCGACGCGTTGTAGATCCAACCTTTTACAGCCAGTCTGACATCGCGAAGGCGCCAAAGGTGGCCCGGATTGACATAAGCCGCTCTGGTTTTCACTATACGTGCATTGATCTCATCACTCACACCACCACCAGCACTTATGCAGCTACCCAGATACACGAACTTCTCAACTACTTCTATCTACTCCCCATACAGGGCGAGTACAGGATCAGCGTCCTGCCAGTCTTGTAAAAGTACTCTGCACATATCGTACCTACGGACATTGATTGCCAACTGATCAAATGCGGATTGCATGCCTTGGGCATTATCGCACAGTAAGACTATATCATACGCATACTCAAGGTCGAGAAGTCTTTCTCCAGACAATAGATCCACACCGCCATTACTTACATCCATCAGAGCTGTTTCCAGAATGTCGTCGATAGCAAAGTTGAAGAGGAATGGTGAGATTGGGCAACCCTGCTTAACCCCACTGCTTGGATGGAACAATGGAGAAAGGTGGTTGTATGCCCTCACTCTACCTGAGGTGTTTGCATATAGGGCTTTTAGGATGTTAATAAACTTCTCAGGCACACCCTTCTTCAATAGACAATCCCAGAGAACAGTCCTATCCAACGAATCGAAGGCAGCCCTGATGTCAAGAAACATTACGATTGTTGGCCTTTGATGAGTATGACGGTGTTCTAACATTTGGCGAAGGGTGAAGATATGATCCTCGACCAGAACGAAACCCAGCCTGCTCCTCGCGAGTCAATCTTTCTCGGGTTTTGAACAACCTACGAAATATGACGGAAGCCAATAGCTTGGACGCAATGGGAAGTAGACCTGTTCTCCGATAGTTGTTACAGGAACGACGTGAACCCGTTTTAAAGATAGGGACAACTATCGACTCATTCCATGACGTTGGTACACTCTCTAGTTCCCAAACCTTTGTAAACAACGTCGTCAATTCCTTAGTCAGAAAGTCACTACCGTCTTTAAAAAGAGCCGGAGGTGAGTCATCTGGGCCTAGTGATTTGTAGCGCTTCAAGAGTTGGAGTTCCTTGTGGACTTCCACCTCATTTGGTGGATCAGTCGTCACCGGCCATGGAGGGCAGGACAGTCTGACCTATGTTGCAGGAGCAGCAGGCCAGTCGAACTGCCCTTCGAAGAATTCTGCCCATCGTCCAAGACGTCGATGGATGTTAGTGATTGGCATCCCATCATCCTCGTAGATTGTTTCACTCACACCATACTTCTTGCTGCCAGTGGCTCGGATGAGTTGGATAAGCTTCTGGTAATTATCAGATGCAGCTGCTGCTTCCAACTCATTAGCACGCTTCGACCACCAGGCTTCTCGGTCCTTACGCAAGCTTTGCCCACTTTCCTTACGTAACATCCTTCGTTTGTGGTTAAACTCACGGTCACCCGGCGTAGACCGACGGGCTTCAGTGAGTTGTAAGGAGCCTGAAGAAAACCAGTGCTTATAAGCGGGACGTTTCGCGAAGCCGCAAGCGGCTTTACTCGCCATTTTCATGGCGTCGTGAATTTGCAACCAATGCTCGTCTATACATTTCGCTGGATTGGTAGCTAGCCTAGAAGCAAGCTCAGTTTGATACTTACTAGCAACAGAAGTTGCAACCAACTTGCTGACATCAATCCTTTGGTGACGACCACTTCGTTGGCAACTGAAAAGTAAGGTGAGATTGGCGCAGACCAGGGCATGATCAGAGTCTAGATAGAAACTCCAAAAGAAGCGGCAGTCTTGTACAAAATCACCCCAGCGGTAGCTGATCGCGATGTAATCAATCTGAGTCCAGGCTTGGGATGCAGAGGGAGGACGCCAGGTGGCACATCGGCGATGACTGTGCCGAAAGTTAGTGCTAGCCAGAAACAGGTTGTGGTATGTGCATAATTGCATTAGACGGTCCCCGTTATCTGTCCTGCGACCAACAAGTCCCCATCGGCCACCTAAACGATTCTCTTCTGCGCCTAGACGCCCAACCTGAGCATCCAAGTCTCCGGCTAGTACTGCAATATCTGTCGAACGCACTTTCTGGAGAAGAACAGTTAACTGGTGGTAGGATTCATCCTTGATTGCATCCGGGCCGCAATCTGTCGGAGCATAGGCGGAAATGACGAAAAGACATCGTTTCTCACGCCGATTTCTTCTCACTTTGATGGAACTTTCTAATCTAACAGCACATAACCGACTGTTAATGGGGATCCAATCGATTAGTGCTGCCTCAGCTCTAGCGCTTAGTGCGACGCCAACGCCAGCAAGACCAGACGAAGATGCCACAGGGTCCCCGGATAAGCGCACGTAAAACAAGCTTTTTGAAGCGACAGATGGAGAGCGAATTTGTAGTACTTCACCAGAGTCCTGAATACGGGTCTCGGATAGACAGCAAACATCGATATAAAGACTTTCTAAAGACATAGCCAGCCCTATCTGTTGTCCGACCTGCATAAGTGTGCGAACGTTGAAGGCAGCCAGTTTGAATGGTGCACGTGGTTTCAGAAAAACTGCTTCAGTACTTATATTCGGTGGTAGCATACAATTTTCAACCAGGCAGTGATTCGAGAACGTTTAGATAGAGTCCAATTTCCACCATAGACGAGCCGCTGTATAAGTATAAAAGAGGGTGAATAATGACGTAGTAAATAATAACAATAACAATAATAATAATAATTTTAATTTGAATCATTTGATTGTTAGTCGAAGCAAGAAAAGTAGTTTCCATAATTATAGACAGTTCATCATTTGTGTGTGGGCTGTGATACTGCCCGGGTACCCAGACCGAAGCAGGTATGACTATGTTTGTTGTCTGCACTTATACCTGGAGTATTCTGCAAGTTCGTGTAAATGTTTAGTATTATAAATCCTATCTGAGGTGTTACAAGCATGATCGGTCATCGTATAACGAAAACCGCTGCATCATATGCAGATTTAGCCCATCTTTCACAAAGTTTTGATTTTAATGGGATTATAAATGTCTGTTTTACAGCACATGTTTGCTTTGTCCGCGCGACATGTAGTCTTCTCATAGTATGTATTCTGTCATTTCTGTCTTCGTGGTATTACACACTTTTAATGACAATGCTATGTAACAAGTATTCGGAGACGGCAGAAATCTTAATTGAACCTGTAGAAAGTAATTCCCTACAGATGCTATTCTAAACTAATTTCCAGACTGTTAAACACAGAGTCTTAGCTTAGCTTAAGTCAGATCAAGTGAGCTATTTAGGTTGATAAACTCTGCCATTAGTATGCAAAAACAAATAATACAGTCTATCAAACAAGGAAAAAGAGCGACGTAAATAACATACCGAACAGTAATTAGAGCATAGGAGAAATAAGTCGACAAAACTAATTTATTTTATGACAAACGTGAAAGATTATGATTGATGAATAAATAAGGGATAGTCATACGAAGTCAAAGAGAGTCAATGAAGTGGTGGGCGTTAAATACTGTCATTAGTGGGTTCAATAATCAATCACACCTTACAAAACCTGTAAATCTGTTTTTAATCACGGTGTTTAGCGGTTGATGATTTATGAACAATTAATCTTGATTTTTCACCTTGTTTGAAAAATTTAAATTGGTTACTTGTAGCATTGCATTTTAATAAAAGAGAAGATTTTGATCTTTTAGAGCGTTGCAGCCTCTTCAATGTTGTTTGAGTCATCGAGCTCACAGTTGATTATATATATATACTAATCCATCCCAACCAACCACTGGTAATCGTAGTAGTGTCATATTTCGTTTTTAATTAAATAACTAAAAACGCCATTAAAAGATTATTAAATGCATCTATTTTGTACAACTGTTTTTCCAAACGTTTTAGTCACTCACTGACCCATTCCATTCAATTTTTTTCATTCGCAATATTATTAATCTGTTTTGTTTATCTTTTGCGTGGTTTTGTTTACTACTTAAAGTCTATATTTTGGGAATATTGTGGTTAAAAACATGGAAATGCTTTTATCTTGCTTTTGCAGGTTACTCCTCAAATATTGTTTCACTTAAAATTGGATAAAGTTGGTGAATTAAATCCAGATTTCGGTTCGCTTTACGTTTTTACTTGTTCTAATTCATGTGAACTTCCTAGAAGAAAAAAATGTACAGAAGTATCACCTTCTAAATGTGATAATGCATTTATTGAATATCAACGTGAAATTGTCATTCGTCAAATGGTTCCATAATTGATTAACAATTATTTTTATGTGAAGGGTTAGATGGCTTGATTTTAAAATAAAAATTGATCCAAGTACAGATTTGATCAGTAGTTCTGTTGATTAGATATTGATATAAAACTGTGTAAATCGGTATCACTATCTTTTTACGGTGTTAGACATTACTGCTATCAGTTATTATAAAAGCATATAAAGTTCTCTTTCATTATTTTGTTAAATGTTGGAACGCATCTGTTTTCGTTATTATTTATTATTAATCTGTTGATTTAATCAATTAAAAAAGCATTTAGAATGTTATTGCTACCACCAAACTGATCGACAACCGTATTAAATTTTAGAGTGCTGAAACGATAATCTCTGTCTGTTCATATCAACTTGTAGTGTCTACACCATTGATAGGTCTGTATCGATGACGTAAGCAGATAATTATTATCGACAAATTACATTTATGTTCTATTGATTTGCAATAATTCCTTATATATAATGAGGGTCTATGGAACTCTTAATTAATGCCACCTAGAAGAATTCCTTTCACATTGTTACATCAAAACTTATCTAAATAACATAAAATATCGAAGTCCCAATATATATTTCCGTAATTTATAAATTTTCCAAGTTACCAAAACAGAAAGCTTGGAAAAATTAACTCTAGAAGTAATGAAAACTGGATATTTAAACGAAGATACCGGTATCATCTTAAAGTTTACAACATGCTTTAGCAGGGTGATTAGCCATATTCCTTTATAAACACAACCACGTTAGGTGACTAAAGTCAATTAGCATTCAGCTTGACCACTTAGGTTCCGTTCGGGATAGTTGAAACAATAAGAATTGTCAGTCTATCGAAGTACTGAGATGTGGGTGATTGTAAATTTCCAGTAATTAATATGACAAAACTCAATAAATCAATGAGTAAATCATTTTCTTGTATATAATATAGAATAAATGTGATCAGAAGATACTTTGTATGCAAGACATCGTTGGAACTAATTAGTTTTCTGTATAGACCCTGACTGTTGTTGGGTGCTATATTAACAGTTACTGTTTATCATCGAAATTATTAGTCTTTAACTACGATTAGTCGTTGGAGACTAGGTGACATGTCTCAGAGTTGTCCACAATGACACAGGTGCATTCACTTTTGATTTTCAAATCCAGTACTTCTTCATTCCTAAACCAACCTCATTGTGATTTATTGAATATGGCAGAATGACATAAAACAATATAGAAATGGTAAGAATACCAGATGCCTGGTTCGCTCCATTCTCTCCCATGATAATTTTAGATTGGTGAGTCGAAATACATTTCAATGCCATGGACCTGCATAGTGGATTTTTTCGCAGTCCTCACGCCAGTATCATTTTTTCTAACTTTCTGAAGTAATACAGTACATTCGTTTTGTAAACCATTCGGAGCGGTAAATTATATTTCTGATAGTGAAATATCAAATTGTAGTATTCTACTTTCACTCTCGAAATTTCTACGAATGCACGTAAAATAGGGAGATCATTATATTATCAGGTTTATGAATATCTGAATGGCATCCCGCAGGGAAGTTCCTAAAATTGGCCGTTCGTATACTATTATGGAAATATTATATTCACTTGCTAGATTATTAGAATAAATCCATGTTTTGTTAATAAAAAGGATTTGTTAGTCCTGGTAGATTTCGATACATACATATTTATGATTACACCATTAGAAAGTCTTTAGATCCCACTTAACATTTCATTGTTCTTCAATTATTATCAGCAGCATTGTTAAAATATAGGAGTACAAAAAGATTATTCTGTGCGGTGGATTGGTGGTCAAGCGATTTGGCCTTAAAGCAGTAAGTTGCAAGTTCGGTCCCTATTCCGAATAATTTTGCTCAGGTGGTCGGATAAATGACGGTCTTGAATTTAGGGAATATAATATATCCAGTTTTTACATCGTCCTTTGTTGTCTTACGATTAGTGAAAATATTCTGAAGCTTAAATTAACTACTTGTAAGTAGTAGAAATTTCTTTAAAACAATAACTCGGTCGCTTTAACACTTCAGATTGAACGATAGCTGAATTCTTGATTAGATTTGAAGGAGATAACTAACTGGTAATTATGCCAAGACTTTGTTTCATTTACCTGATGAAAATCCAATAGATAAGTTGATATTATAAAGTATATTGTTGAATTTCGCCAATAATTATTTTCAAAAAATTAAAACGTCTTGTCTTTATAAATTTACATTTTGTCCAGTTGGTTGTAAAATCTTGCAGTAGATTTTGTTATGTTCTTATGCTCTGTGAGTAAATCGCCAATGAGGACATTAATTTATACGACCTAGGCATTGTGCCAAACCAGTCACACGATAACCAGTACGAGCAGCGTAGAGTTAACTCTGAGTATTGATTCTTCTCTCCTAGCTCTGTCCGTTTGAGTCCAGAACGCAATCTCATATTTCACTGTTTGAATAGTTCGTTTTAGACATACATAGCCTATATACAAGTAAATCATACCATAAAATAGAAAGTAACAATTATAACAAGGCCAGAGGTGACTGTGAGTATGAGATACTGTAACTAATAAATTGGGAATAACTTAAGAATGGCAAATCGTATAAGAGTAGGTAATAGGTAGAATGAAAGGTTCATGAATGTACATATAATCTAGTTACTCAATAGTTACCCAACTAGAATATATGCAATAATAGTCCATAAATAATTCCGAGCAGTTACCATTCATATATTCTTCGTTGGGATATGACAAATTTTATGTGAATTGAGTCGACCGAGTGCTGCAGAATAAGTTTGGAATCAATGTGTGCAAACCGACCATTCTTCAGTAATCATCCTTACTTTAGTTGCGTTGTACACTTAGTGAAATTATTTTGACCAAGTTTCCAATTTGGCAACTGAAGTAAATGGCTGGACAGATCGGTGTGTCTTGTCTAAAGGTTTGGAGGGATTATTGAGTAACAGTAGACCTGTGTTTCGTGTTGGTTGACATGCATCGGCAAGTTGTATCTACACGAAGAGATGAACTGCATATTATGCACTGTCTGATTTATGCAATCGTGAGAGTGACAGCAAGTCAGTAACGACCTGACCAGCCTAGTAGTAATGTTTCTGGGTAATGTATGTCCTCACATCTGAAGACTCGTTATTATCCCAGATGTCAACCGAAATGAGATTTGTTTTCACGGTGGTTTTGCAACAATCTCTAATGATTGAAAATGAAAATCAATGATATGTATTACAGTTGAGTCTTTCAATTTCCAACCTGTGGATACTTTCAAAATGAGTTCCAGGTTATGATTTTAGTAACGGTATTAGTAATCGTTGGGATACATGCATCGTAATCTTAAAACTCAGTTTTAGGACCAAACGTGATTTTTTCAATGTCATTAGTTGATATTATGTAAACACACTGTCTACGCAGGAAGAAGTAATACTTAATGTTATTAGTTGGATGCTGACAGTCGACACATTTGAACTCCACTTGTCGAGTGTTGGACAGTTATCAACCGAAGGCAAGAAAAGACGGTTGTGCAGTATCGTGAGTTGATTGAAGTTAGACAATAATATCATTGGATATTGATTCCGTGGTTTAGTGGTTAAGTTTTTACGTGAGAGACCGAAGGTCCTGGATTCTATGCTGTATAGTTGGGGAGTGAATGGGCATTGCTGAGAAGGCTCATGTTAGATCTAAACAGCTATTCAGTGCCCCCTGGTTTCCAATCGCGGTCTAGCTAATATCACTTCGTGATTTAAATTTTAGCTTAAATAATATCAGGTATCATGTATTTTGTTTCATATTTTGACGGTCACGTTTAATTATCTGAGTAAAATGAAAAATTATTGAACTTTTTTTCGACGACATTTTAAATGGTTGCTTGTTTATAATTTTCTGGCAACATTTAATATAGAAATAATAAATTAGATTAAATTGTCGACCCAAGGTCATCACAGATTGAGTTACATATATTTCAATATTAAAATAATGAAAAACTACATATTTATTCTTGTATATAATGTAAGTTATTCTACGTGTTATTGTACACTGACATCCCTTCATTCTTGCCTCTTCGAAAAAATACCCCACCCCAAGTTTCATTTAGTTAAAGTTATTCAAGGTCGTTCTGATGATGATGAAGTTTGAAATCCAATTCTAATTTGTCAAATTTACTGTTTTATCTATACAATACGAGTATTTCAAATAATTACAAAAAGGTAATCTTAATATTATAAATGAACAGATGTTATGTCAATTAATTTAATTTTAACCCATTTTATTTATTATAAACAAAATGATAAGATTTTATGTCATGGAATTAAGATTTTTGGTGAGTAAAACAATTTTCAATTGTGTTTAGCAGAATGTAGATTTACTAATTAATTATGATGTGGACTAAGGAGAATGAAAATAGTTTTTTGTATGTTTTTTGACTGCTAACATAAATTCATACTTGGTACCAAAAAAATTGTGGATAAATAATTTTTGAATAAAACAAATAGGTGAAAATGAATGGTGTTTAGAGTCTACTTTCATAATAATTGAAGGAATATATAAAATCAAACATTTTATTTTAACTAATCTACCACTGCTGTTTTTTAGTGCTGATTGATAGATAAGTACTTGAATATAATATAATTGTTAAGAGGTGCCTTTAATTATACTTGGCAATTACATAAAAACCCATGTTTAGATCGAATAAGTTCAACCAGTTGGAGCCATATGTTAATAATACCTGTGGCTGACGTATTTGTTTTCCTTTTATAACTGACTGACCAAGTATTCAAGTCACTACTGATTTCAGTATATTTTCTGGACACATTTTAGCTTCATATTAAAGAGTGATAGTGATCTACGGTCACACAATCGTTCAGTGTTCAACCTTAATAATTATCGTTGACATGACTTATATTTAGTAAAAATATTGCGTATTAAATTCGTTTATTCAAATGATTACGCACTCTATTTTTAGCTGCATTTTATTGAAGAACTAGTGTACACAGACTATTTTGTGTTCAGTGA